TTCACTTACAAAGGATATTTATGATCTTAGGTAATAATGATAAATACCCCCTCCCAAAGAAACATAAACAAGTGAAAAGAAGTCTTAGTTTGATTTATTATTAGGTTTCTTCTACCAAATGCTAAATGTTTAGTTTTTACACATAATAGTGACAGCATAAAGAGGATTTAGTGCTATGTATTAAAAAAAAACAAAAAAAAACAAAAAACAAATAGGATTTAGTGCTGATTTAGAAGCTCACAATTCTTGTATAAAAATACCAAGACTACGACATGACCAAATGAATTAGTTCTTCGTGGTTATCACTCGGAACAACTTGAAAGAATTAGGTCCAAATTAAATACCCAATTTCATTATCCATTTCCATTTGAATATTCCTAACCTCCATGGACCATGATCTATATATTTGTTAGTTTTTAATAAATTGGCGAGGAGGCAATATATAATCCATGATGTAGTCTTAAAACGATTATTGAACAATTTGGACAAGTTGTTCAAAATGTACAAAACATGCATGCAATTATTTAAGCACCTTGTATATAAGTTAAAAAAAAAAAAAAAAAAAACCCACAATATATACACAGTGGGGAGCACAAGGTTCACAAAACAATGGGGCAGAGTGGGATTTGGGACACAGAAAAGCATTCATCTTCAATTTTTTTTTTTCTGTACTCTCTTTCCTTTGCAAAACGCGTAGTCAAATGTTCCTTTTCTTTCCGGCTAAAATCGTTCTGTTACGTTTTATGTGATAATTATATGCTTAGTATATAGAAAATTAAACTTGAAGGGTAATGATGTAAAGAACCAATTCAACCCAAAAGTTTAAGCTAGTGGGTGAGAGCTCAACACGCCCCCTCACACGAGTGGGGGGCAGCGAGGATCGAACCCGAGACACGAGGCTCTGATACCATGTAAAGAACTAATTCAACCAAAAAGCTTAAGTTGGTGGGTGAGAGCTTTTTAATGGTTTTATATATCTCAACAAATGAGTTGATTTGGTCCAATTTCAAGTCTAGAACTCTAGATATATGAACAGAACTTATTTAATATGGTTCATGAAATTTTTGAACTGAACCAAATTAACTCTCAATTATGTAGTTTAAGTTATTTCGGTTTAATGATTTCGAAAGTTATTAAAAAATCAAAGAAAGTTTTCTTTTTTCTGCGAACATCAACACTGCCAAAGGATTTGAAATTAGCTACACAAAACTACCTCTTATTTACACTTGTAACATAGTTCATGCTTCATACTGTATGTTTCCTTTCATAAAACGGTACTCATAACTATAAATCATTATTCATGATGCGAGATTTAACGTTATTCAAGAGTACAAGTAGGAAGAAATAGTAACACATATAATGTAAGAAAAGCTCCTTACTTATTACTATTACTACAGGGGAAGGTTATATTTACAAACTTTTTATTTATAAATTCATACAAACTACACTAAGTATGATCGGTCATACTTCAATCAAGAGTGTATGACCCGTAATACTTAGTGTAATTTATAAAAAAAAAATTGTAAACGGATCTTTCCTAATTACTCTATTAGCAACTTTTTCGAAAATATATGCTAGATCATGTAATACAAGTAATACTTAATGGTAAAAAATTAAAGGTGAGATCTACCAAATTCAAAATTTATTATCCCTTATATTTTTATCACAATACAAATATATTTTAATTAATAATATTTTTAAAAAAATGTATTGGTGGTCCAATTTTTTTTGGTAATCACATTGGTGGTCCAATTTGATTCACCTAGTAAGTCACCTTGATTTACAAATTAAATCAGCCCGTTAAAATAGACTGTAAATGAAGTGTCAGTATTTGTTGAAATTGAATTAAACTAAACAAATATGTTTAATTAAATTTAGTTGACTTGATTTCTGCAGAAAATTAAAAGAAATGAGAACACCTTCATTTTAAATTAAAGTTTTCTTAATCATTGCTAAATAAAATAATCTTTGCAATGAAATTATTTTAATTAAAATTCGTTAAACAAACCTCTTTTTATTAGTTTATTAGTCCAAGACATGAAGTTAACCTAATATCTAAACATGATGTTCTCTTACTGGCTTATAGCCTTATACCATATAAATTGTTCATACTAAGTGTCACACCTACCATGAGATGAGATTTGTCAATTAACAAGTTTGATAAGAGTGTGCAAAACCATGTGGCTCCTGACACTTGACAGGCGAAGATTACTATGTGATTTTTTTGTGTTTGAGATTTTCTAGCTTTTTTCATAAGTTAAAGCTTTTATGGAACTGTTTTGACCATTTCCAGTGGCATGCATATATAGGAGTGCCATCAATCCTTTAACAGTAGCAGTTCAAAATAATAGAGAAACCATGATTCCCATGACCAAGAAGCCACGATTCTTGGCTGTACACACACATGGGTTACCTTTTAAAAACAAGAATCTGTAACCAAAACAAGCCCATTGAAAATTAAAAATAAAAATAAAAATAAAAATGATGCTCTCAATTGATTTCCTGCTCTTTACAAAGTTATCAGATATTATATTAATATCTCTGTTTTAAAATTTGATCCCCTTGGAAATCACCATTTCCATGTGAAACCCTTAACTTTCCTCTATCTTGTCACCCAACACAATCATAGTTCTGTGGCCTAGAACAAACAATAAGCTTGGTTAAATCTAGAATACTTCCAGATGGAAACCATTTAAAAATAAAAATGTTATTGCGATTTATTATACTTTGTAAAGTTATCAATGAGTTAAATATATGTACAATTGGAGGGATGATAGAGTTTTTTTTTTAAATATATTATTTATCGGTTCGTCAATTACTCGACTAATCCGATTTAAATTTGATAGAATTAATTGGACGACAAAATTTTTCCTATCAAATTTTAACACAACTGCATTTCCATATATTAAAACTCGAAATAACTGATTAAGTTAGAACAATCTTCTACCAATTGATTCACGTGTTTTGAACCACAAATTACCCGTGTTCAAAAGTTAAGTAAAAGTCAGATTAAGTTGATTATGTGATGAGCACTTCTCACTTTGGAAATATTCTTTTTCATTGTTTGCTTCCTTTTTAGTTTTTTTATTTATTTATTCTGGTGGGCTAATAAATAATCAATCAAAATGTTATGAAAGAGAATGATCAAGGGGTGGAGGATACTGGGCATGATAATGGGTTTGATAAATTAGCAAAGACTCTAAAAAGTTGATGTTGAAATGAGGATAGCCGTTGAAACTTGAAAATACTATTGACAGCCTTGTGTCAAGGGGGAAATGACCTTGAAAGTTTCATTCCCACCAAGAAAGTAGTTGTGGACAATCGAGAGGTATGTATGTAGGAGAATAAAGCAAGAAATAAAAAAGCACTTATACATTAACAAACCCACAAAGCTTCATGGGTGCCTAAAAGGCTATACCTATCTATATATTAAAAAGAAGCGAGGAGAAGAAATAAAACAAATATGGAGTTTAATTTTCTCTGTCCCAATGGTATTTGCTAATCAAGGATTCTTTTGACGCAAGAACCAACAAGCCATTTGAATTGATGAGCCTTTGATTCAAAGATAAATAAATTATGCATAATCAAGTGTTTTGAGTGCCCCATTGAAACTAGAATTTACTTCTAAAACCACTGTGCTGTGCTGCACGTGGACTAGCACTTGCAAGTACCCAAGTGACTCATGTTGGTAATTAGGTATACATTGTTCAGTGTTTTACCGCTAATAATCATGGGAAATATTTTTCTCATTTCGTTGGAGATAACTATCTCATTTTATACACTCATCAAATTTTGTGTCAATTTTTTCCATTTCTTTTTTCTTTTGTTTTAAAGTGTGGACCCCACATATGTATCTCACACACATGAGAGAACTATCTCAAGCAACATAAGATTAATAACCCCCAATAATCATATCCATAAAAAAAAGGTTTTCCTTTCTTTTGTCGGTTGCCAAAAATAAAATAAAAAATAAAATAAAAAAAGCATTGATTATTGAACGTGCTTTTTTTATTTCAAGAGCACATATTCCAAATGATTTCTTCACTTCTAAGGTGGTGAACAGAGCAAAATGTCTATAGGGGCAGGAATATGTACGGCATGCTTTTGATCATGTTATTAGCTTTTAAGTTATTGACCCACTATCTTCGCTCAATGAGGCCTGCCATAACCAATGCAACGCAAACAGCTTTTTCATATTCCCTTCATAAGTCAAATTCAAAGAAGTCAGATTTCAGAGAGCATCTTGTTGGTTTTAATTTGGCTGATGGAAACTACTGAAACTCTCCCCCACATTTCAACTACCAAAACACAAATAACCAGCAACACAATCACTCTATTCACCCACACAGCTGTTAGTACAAACTACAAAGTGCTTACGCTCAACTCAATCAACTACACGACAACCTAAACTTGAAAACTGGCCTGGGACTGTAATTGAAAATAAATGTGCACTATTGTCTCAACTCTCAAGTTGCAATCACAAAAGTCTGTCTAAATGTCTAATATAATTTTTGCCGACAAAAACAAGCCTAAAAGAGAGTTGATAGTGCATAGTCATTCATTCAGCCCATAATACCCTCTCGCAACAGTAGCGCAAGGAATGTGCGAGGCAGCTATACTAAGGTATTGTTTTTTTATGTATTAAATAGTAAGTATACCTTGTTTTTACCTTTTAAAAAACAATAGCTTTTATACCTTGTTTATTTTAAAAGTATTTTTTTATAAAAATTAATTTAATTTTTTTTTTTAAATTTTAATTTTTGAAAAAAAAATATTTGATTTTTGATTTCTGCTTTTTTTATAAACTAAAATTTTTAGCTTTAAAAAAAAAGTAATTTTTTTTATGACTTCTGTTTTTTTTTTTTTTTTTTAAACATATATCCAAACAAACTTATAATGAAAAGCACTTTTAAAAAAAAAAAAAAAACACATCCAAATGGGCTCTTAGTCTGAGCTACGGGATAATAATTGACTATTAAATTTGTTGTAAAAATCGACCATAGACTGAATAATATTCAAACTAAAATATAACCGATTCACAGTCCACTTAAACTAGCAGGTCTAGTCCGGTTTTTAAAACATTTTCCATTTCACTACCTAATTCTGATTAACTAGCATTTTCCTTGAACAGTACAACATTCAGATTTCTGTTTCTCTCCAGAAGCTAAATCTCAATTATTAAGAAATCCAGCCTCATAACTCTTCTACATGCTCAAGGGAAGAAAAGTGTTTGTCTACAGTTTTTAGAGTTTCTTGATCAATTTCAGTGGTCCCAATCAATTTTGGTAAAGAATAATCCAATTCTTTTGCTGGTTCCACATCACTTTCAGCAGTTTGATTATTATGCATTTCATTGTCTTTAGGTTCTATCATGCCAGAGCCTTCGTCCGAATTGAAGAGTTGGAACTTCATCTCCTCGCATGACTTCAAATCCTCCTCACTTCGTGCTTTATTAATTTTATCCATAAGATCGCTTATAGCTGATAACCTTTCGGTTCTCTTTCCCCTTTTTGAAGCTTCATTAGCTTCTTCATCAAGTGATTCGTCGATGTCACCATCTACAGCACGCTTCTGAAGTTTCTTTAAGCCTGCATCTACAATTTGTTGTATTTGCATTCTCACACCATCACTTCTCGATGTGTTTGATCTAAGCTGCAACATCATTATCTCATTGTTCTCTGTAGTAGGATTAGACTCCGACGCAGAGGACACATTTTCATCCGAAGTCTTCACAGATAATACTTCTTCTAATAAATCTACGTTCTGCATGTACCGGTCAAAAGCTTCATTTTCCACTTCAATACTTCGCTCCTTGTATTCCTTTAACTTGGAAAATCTCCATTCATTGATAGCTGCAGCATCCTGTAATCACTCACAATGCTATTACTTTTACACAACATAAAGCTTGCCATAACACATTATACACTTAACCAAACACTGTTTATATATTGTGTGCACCTTTCTAGTTAGAGGCTTCTTTGAACGAAGTGAAATGTGCAAATTATTGAACTGAGCAAAACTATTGGAAAGTTGTCGAAGTGATGCAACTCTACCTGCAGTTCTGAAATAAAAAGCACAAAGAAAATCCTTGGATCGGGGAAAAACAATATGAATCAGAAAGATGCTTTCAATGCTGATTGCATAGTTGAATCAATAAAGTCACTAGAAGAAAATAGCTAGAGGAACAAACTGGAAGTTCAAGAAAACTACTACATAAGAAAATGGTACAACGCAAAAAGGAAGATGTTGGAAATACACACGCACACACACCTGTTACCTATTGCAATAAAATTCGAGTCAGAAAACTTAGAGCTTTGAGACTTTGGCACAATATTGAGTAATTACTGATTCATGTGAGGTAAAATATGAATAAACTGTGGGCACTTCACTACAGAGTCTAACCAGGCTTTCAAAAGAGAAAAAAGCAAAGCATTATGCAGAAAAGAAAATTATTAACTCTATAGTTTTTTAAAAATAAAACATTTTTTCTTTCTAGTTAAGCCTGACATGTTAGAAATATAAAACTAAATAAAAAAGATAAGATCCAAATGTAGGGCACAGATACTCATAACTTACGTTGATTGAGGTTCTAAGGATTGGTGGTCAAGTGGGGCAGCCCCAGAAGATGGTGCCTTGTCTGGAAAAATTGAACTAGCTTTTAACACTGCACTCACCATAAGACATGAAAAAGAGGGAGCGGGGGATGAAAAACTGTTAGGATATTTATATCATGGCAAATATAAAGACAAATAACAGAAAGAATACAGATATTGTCAATCTTGCCAAAAAATTCATAGAACAATTGCATCTTTCTATTTCTCTTTACATTACATTTTCTTATTTTACCCTCTTAATAAGAAGAAGAGTTGTATTTTTTATGCCACCAGTTAAACAATATCTGTTTACATATCCCCACCACCATGTTTTAAGGATAAGGCTCATCTAAAGCGAGCTTGTTTCCAAAGTTAGCAAGGGTGTATCTACCTTTAATCAGTAAAATTTATACATCCTTACTTTTTTATTTTATAGACAAATTTAATTACTTTACAGGTCCTTTTTCCAAATTCTAAAATTTAAGCTAAGCATTTTAGATAGCCTAAACCGGAAAGACATAATCTTAAAATACTACCCAATAACCTTAATACATTTCAAGTACTTCGAAGACCATTTCATGTTCAGAAGAAAACGCACACTAAATATAAGTAGTGCTTCCTTTTTCCTTTCATAAAAAATATCCATTTTAAAAGTTTATTTCAATATTGGAAATTAGTTCATTTTTATTTCAATCATATGTTTTCGTTCTCACCAAAAGAAATGCTTCTTTCTCCCTATGAATACAAAAGGAAAACATAATTCTTTTAATCAGTATCAGGGTTTACGTGCTTTGTTTCCCAAATACTCATGTAAATCTTCTGTTTGCCTCTTGGAACAAAAGTAGTTAATTCCAGATAGTAGCGCAAAGGAGTTGACTCCCCAAAAACACTATTGCAGTGCAGTGGATGGCAGAGCGGCCGCTAAACCAAATACAGTATATCCAATATAAATATTTTAAAAAAGTACTCAAAACATAATTCATATTTATCATTATTACTCAAAATTCATAGCTTAAGGACATAATCATCATTATTCTAAGCCATAACTAAAAACAATAAGCCAACAACCACAAAAAGCATAACGAAATAAAAAGGAGCAAAACAGGGGCAGGAGAAAAGGCTAACTGGAAAACAAGGCTGGAGTGGTGAGGAACCAGCAGAAACACAGCAAGGCTATGTGATACAAGGTGAGTAAAGTGTGCAGTATAGAGAGTGCGAAACAGGCATGGGATGGTCAAATTTTTTTGAAACGGGCTGGTTACCAAACAAAATGCCAGAATAGAGGTGGGCTTTGTGAAAACCCAAACTTCATGCTGTGTGGGATGCCTTTCTTTCAAAGAATGGAAGCTGAGAAACCCAAAACTCACTGTGCGGGTGATGGGTCTGGGAGAACCAAAAACTCCCTCAAAAAATAGAAGCAGATACATTTTAATGAATGAGTATGAATGAATGAAATGGAGGAATGCTACAGGTGTTATTTATCATTGAAAGGTGCTGCTCAAGCTTAAAGGAAAATTTTACTACACAAACATAGGACAACCAATGTCTTACGGCACTTAATGTTGGGCGGTAAATTGCAAAACGAGCATAAAGTATGTGATACATATATGATAAAGTATGAGTAGTCCCTATTAAGGAAAAAAAGGAAGAATTGCACCCAACATGATTTGTCCATGTGACAAGAAGACCAATAGAAACCCCAATAAGAAGAGTTGAATAGATGGAGGATAGCCCAATAGTTAGAGGCAGAAGAAGACCAAGTAAAACTCCAAGTGAAAACATTATAAAGGACTTAGAACTATGGCCTCTCTGAAGACCTAGTTTTTGACATAACACAACGACATTGTTTAATTCGTATAGCTGACCCCACCTAAAGGGAAAAGACTTTTGCTGTGGTTTCAAATAGAAAATCAAACCCAGTAGGACGACAAGTTTTTATAGAATAGTTCATTAGTACCATTAATAACAAAATTGAAGAAATGTTTATAGAGACGTTGGGGGATCAAAATTACCAAATCCTTAACGAAGATGGGATTATCTGCATATATAGGAGCGCTGTACTGAAACAAACTAGCAGGGTTTTTCATGGAAACTTCAAATGTCCACAAGTATCTCAATGCTAAGAGTAAAATATGAAGTACATCGTCCAATATTGAGTTTCGAGAATGAGAAAATTTTGGCAAATCTATAGCTGGGCCAGTAGAAGTTACAAATTAAACCTATGCTTTAGCTGAGATGTTTGATAAATGAGTTGATCCTAAGCCTGAAGTGGCTTATGGAGAAAAGACTAATGCTCAAACCTGTGCCCAGTGATTGGACTTCTATTACAGCTTCAGCATTTTAGAATCAAAATCAGAAGAAAACATATACCAACAAGGAGATCATCAAAAGCATGCAATTAAAATTAAAGAGCACCAAAAACCAAAGGAAAAGTTTTTTTTTTTTTTTTTTTTTTTAGTTTTGTTTTTTAACCCTGAAAGGTGAACAAGGACAAAAATGGAAAAGAGCAGTGATTCCAAAAAGAAGAAGAGTTTTACTAAAAGAAGAAGCAGAGGGGTAACGCACCATGAATATGACATGGATTTTGATTTCTCGAACAGCAACTCTTGCAAGATTCATACGGACACCTTCAGGCATCGAAATTAGGAAGAAAGAATCAGATTGTTGATCATAAAATGTTTGAATTGAAATGAAGGAATTAATAAATAAATAAAATTGAAGAAGGAAAGGGATGATGATGACCTAGAACGAGCAACATTGCCGCACTGCTTGCACTTTGGCTTGTTATGGCCGCGTTGTGATTTGGGCGCAACAACAACAGCTGTTATCGGGGTTCCTGTCTTCGCCGTCGTATTGTTGTTGGGGGCCGCCATACATATGTAACACTCACCTTCCTCCTTCGCACCAAATTCAAATTCAAATTCAAATTCAAATTGAAGTTGAGATTTCACCTTAAAAGAAAAAAAAACAACAACAAGAAGAAGAAGAAGATGAAGCACAGAGGAGAGAGAACAGAGGAAGTCTCTTTTTCATTGTTACTTGTAGCTTTCACGCTCGGCTCAAGTGCTCAACGACTTGCGTTGTGGGCCGTTTCGTGATTGGGCCTGATCCGATTCAACTTTGATTTGTCTGACTTAATTCAAACCCACTATCCCAATAATAAAACCTGTTTTAACTGGGCTTCCGCCCCCTTGCTTTACCCACACACAAAAAATGTTTTTAAAAAAATATTAAATGAAAATGAAATTGAGAATAGAAAAATATTTAATACTTATTTTATTTAAATAAAGATTATGGGCAATTTAATATGGTATATTGAATGTTCTTAACTGATGTTCTTGAAGTACCTTGTTTGGGTTTATTGGTTCTGATTAAGTTATCTCTCTTGCCAAAATTACGTCTCTTCTGAGGGTAGTAGGAATTAATAAAAGACATTTTGGTAAAATGAGGAAGGTTATACTTACAATCTTTTTTTTACAACCTCTTACAATCATATCTTAACATTGTTGATTTTCGCCAATCAACGGTTATGATTTTCGCAAATTAAACTCATTAATTAATTATTAATTCACAATAAATGATAACTGTTTATTGGCGGAAATCAACGGTGTTAAGATATGGTTGTAAGAGGTTGTAAAAAAAAGTTGTAAGTATAACATTCCTCTTGGTAAAATAAATAAAATAAATAAATAAATAAAATTCTTAAAATATCCTTCTTTAATTCTTTTAACTCTCGAAATGACGTAATTTTATACTAAAGTCGTGTTTCAAAAAACCATGTTGTCTTTTCAATTGTTGCAATTAAGCTCCTTGTACTATCTAATTTTAAAAAATAAGCGTATCTGTCAAATTTTTTACAAACACTGTTAACCATCATGTGCTTCTTCTCCATCTTCTCACTTGATCAATGCAAATTCTGTCTAACTCCAATCCTTTCTTTTCAATGGTTACCAAGCTTTTTTTTTAAGGCTATACAACCTTAATCACAACCATTTCTTACCACTTGGTGTATTCTCTTTTGTGTGTGAAGGTCATTTTACTTGGTTCATAGAGGTTGAAAGTACGCCCTGTCCAAGAAATCTAAGGTTCACTATTAATATAAGAGATCATTTTTTGTTCTCTATTAATGAAAGCATATGGCATTAACCAGCATAAAGCGTAAAGGCTCACACTTACATATTACCTTTAATTCAGCATAAAGCACATGGCATCAATCAAAATGCATTACATCTAGCTTTTTGACAAAGATAATGTAATATCAATGAATCACCTAAACAGACAAATGGTTATTTTTGGCAAGATTATCTTTTTGACATTTTAATTTTTCAAGCATGTTGATTTTTTTCGCCTGTATATTAAGCTTGGAGGCTGCATATATGTATTGACCATTTTTTTAGACAAATAGGAATATGGACATCTTATTCATCTCAGGTTTCAAGTTTTATATAATGAGATGTGGTTCTTTTACTCATATTGGGGGCCAGTATTGGTTTATATTAATTAGTGTAAGAATGAGGTTCACTATGAAACTTTTATTCACAAGAAACTACGAAACTTTTGTACACTATTAAGAGGTCAATTTTTTTTAAGTTAAAAAAAGAGAAATAATAACTAGTCGGATGGCTACAATTATGGAGAGAGAAAGAGAAATAAGAGAACTCGAGAAGGAGGAAGAGGATATTCTAGAACGCAATGTAAAGAAGGCGAAGGAAGCTAATATCGAAGATGAATCAATGGATGAAGAGACGCTGGAGAAAGCCACTAATGAGACAGGGAATTTAAAGTCTTGTTCTCCTGTCCAAGTACCAGGCATAACCATAAGCTTGTCTTCTAGCTCTAGCAGACGTGTGGTCTCTTATAAGGACATAATCCTTTAACTTAATAAAGATGAAAATGGAGGCCATAGCGATGAAGAGCACTATATGTCTATTCAGAGGAGGGAGGAGGGAGGAGGAAGAGGATGCTGTTCTAAAGGAAAAGGTCCTTGTGCAACAAGTCAACCCTCTTTATCCAGTATATTATTTCTAAAAAAAAACAACATAAGGAAGATTATAAAAGGTAGAGAAAATTTTTAATAGTTAAGTTATTGGGGAGGAAAATAAGCAACCGATTCCTCATGACCAGATTGATAAAATTATAGGGTATAACTGGCACAATAGAGGTTATAGACCTTGACAATGGTTACACCCTTGTTAACTTCCAAGAGGAGAAGGACTACTTTCATGTCCTAGATGAAGGCCCCTGGATAGTGGGGAACCACTATGTGGTAGTGCAAAGATGGAGGCCAATATATTATTTATATTATGAACAAGCCAAAAGTTTAGCGGTCTAGGTTCAAATTTTGGGGCTTTTTCTGGAGTTCTAGTCAACCCAGCATCTTTGGAGAATTGATAATTTGTTTGGCAAGAACTCTCTTAGGAAGTTTGATGAAGGAGAATATACAGAAAAGGCTAAATATGCCAGGATTTTTGTTGAAGTTGATATGAGGAAAAAATACCTGCAGTAGAGGTATTTCTGTGGAAACCCCTCGAGCCATAGCTCAAGCTGTTGAGAAGGTGAAGGATAAGGTAACAAATGGAAAAATTATTCTTAGGCATGATTCGGAGGAGGCATTTGGCTCCAAGATGGTTGTTCATAAGCAAACAAGAGAAAGGAGACCAAAAGTAACCAATTAGGCACAACCAGAAGGAAAAAACAAAGTGTAGCTGGTTCATCATATCACCTATCATGTTCATAGATCCATGATGACTGGGGGGAATAGCGAAGGAAGTTCAAAGTCTAGGTTCGATATTCTGGCAAACACCGACGAAATTGAAGGAGTAGGTGTGCAGGTTTCAAAGGAGCAGGTTTCACATCCCATTAAGGAGTTGACCCCTTTGAGTGGGAGCAGATGTTCAGCTGATAAATGTCTTATCCTAAAGCATGCTAAACACGCTAAAGGGTTTGCAGCAAGGGAAAGACCATTTCTACTAAGGATAGTAGGACAAAGAGTAACTCAAAATTTATGCAAGTGGAAAAGATGGGCCCAAGCAATATTAGGGCCCAAGGAAAAAAAACTCACCCTAATTCAAGTAGTAGCTGCCCTGCTTCAATGGTGACTGAGTCCGCTTTGGATCAGGAACCTACAGAGAAGTCACAACTCAAAAATCAGATGCAGCAGAAGGAACAGGAGAATCTCCTAATTATGAGACATCTGTCTAAGTCTGAAAATGAAGAAGCTTTGAATAACGTCATTGCTTGCATACAACCTAGTAGTACAGGTGTCTCCAAATTGAGAATTCCTGCTTCAGTATGAAAGGAAAACATAGCTCCAGAAAGGCATAGGAATAATGGTGTGCAAAGATCAAGGAGCAATAATCCTACAAAATCGTCGCCAATGGTCTGATCTCAGCAATCGCTTGCTAAAAGAAGAGATAATAGGAGCAGTGGAACTCAAGCCTCCACTAAACCTTCCTCCGGTGTCCAATGTATGTCTTCATCTAGAACTGCAGAGGCGCTGCCAAGAAGCATTTTAAAGGCATAATGGGAACTATGACTAAGAAATATAAGTGTGATATAGTTGTGTTGTTAGAGCTGAGGGTGAGTGGGGTTCGTGCAGCCATAATCATTTGCAGTTTGGGCTTCGACGACTTTACTATAGAAGAAGTTGTGGGTTTTGCCAGAGGAATTTGGATCCTCTAGAACCAATCTTGTGACTCGGTTCAACTAATTGAGAAAGATGATCAATTTATTTTAGTGCAAATTTCTATCCCTAATAAACAGCCTTTCCTTTTGACAATGGTTTATGCAGCCCTAAAATTGAAAAACGAAAAGACCTCTGGGATAATCTTCGCCTTCTCCACTCGACGTTCAAGTATCCTTGGTTGCTCGCTGGGGATTTTAAAGAGATTACCTCGTCGAACGAAAAAAGAGGAGGTGCTTCGGTTGACTTTGGTAGATGCTCTTCTTTTTCCTTTGTTCTGGATAATTGTCAGATACTTGATCTTGACAGTTCTGGGCCGCTCTTCACTTGGAAGGGACCTAAGATCTCCCACCTGGATCATGTCTTCAAGAGGCTTGATAAAGCGGTGGCTAATGCCCGATGGAGATTGAACTTTGCCTAAGCTAACGTATAGGTAATTCCAAGACTGTACTTTGATAATAATCTTCTTTTTCTTTCTCTTTTTAAAGGTTCGACAGATTGGGAGTTTAGATCGTTTCGATTCTTCCCTCCCTAGCTATAGCATCCTAACTTTAAGTAGGTGCTGGAGGATAATTAGAACTATGAGGATGATATTTCTGCTAATCTTTCTAAGTTGGTTCCTGTTCTTCAATACTGGAACAATAATATCTTTGGCATCATCAGCAGAAGGCAGTATTCTCTTATCCGAAGGCTTGATGATATTCACAGAAATCTGGAATGACGATATAACTCCTTCCTAATTAGATTAGACACTAAGATGAGATGTGAACTAGAAAAAGATTTGGAGCTTGAAGAACAACTTTGGTACTAAAAATCTGGATTCGAGATGGTGATCGCAACACAAAATTTTATTATATCTCTGCCATTGCAAGGAGTAGAAGGAATAAAATTCTTGCGATGAGGGATAAGGTGGGTATTTGGATAAGAAGTGATATTGCACTTAATACATTGGTGACCAACTTTTATCGCAAACTATTTTTCGAAGACTAGCTTATTAGAAATTGGAGAACCACAATTTTGCCTCAATTAGGGCTCATTGAGAAGAATGACTTAAACCATCCTTTTCTGATGTCAAGATAAGGAATGTTATTTTTCAAATAGGCCCCCATAAGGCTCCTGGGCTAGATGGGTTCCCGGTTGTGGTCTATCAAAGAAATTGGGGAATTTTGGCTGATAAGGTGTGAGATGTCAGATCCTTCCTTGGTAGATCGGAGGATATTCATATTATTAATGAAACCTTACTTGTTCTTATCCCCATAGTGGAGAAGCCTAAAAGAGTTGAGTAG